GTATATAGCTTTTATTATGTTGGGGTATGTTCACTCCAGTCCAATTCCCTCTTGGACTTTGAACATAAATGCATGCTGAATTTTGTCAGAAGTCTTTTATGCATCTATTGAGATGACAATGTGGTTTTTGTCAGAGGGAGGCCAGAGGGAGACCAGAACTTGACACTCTCTGGTGGTCTGCTGAGATCAGAGACTCTTTCACCATACACTTCTGCTACTAGGCAAAATCTCCTCTTCAAGCAATCATGAACTGAAACCTCTGAGCCTGTAAGCCCAAAGTAAATCCTTTTAAAGCTGTTCATCTATATAGCTTGACATAGTGACAGAAAGCTAGCTAATACAACTACTGAGTTGGCACTGAGATGGGCACTGGAAAGAAGGAGACTAGATCTGAGACAACCAGAACAGGCATTAGAATCACAGGCAAAGGTCCTGTGGTGACAGAGAGGTAGGAGCCACCATGGCTTAGCATCATGTAAGAAGAAAAAAGACATGAGGTAACTTTGCCTTCAGAAGAGAACTGAAGTAGGATGTGGGAGTGTTAGGGATCCTCAGTGAAAGGAAAAGATAATGCCCCATGTGGTGGTGAATGCCTTTAACCCAGGCACTCAGGAGGCAGAGGCAGGTAATCTCTGTGAGTTCAAGGCTAGCCTTGTCTACATAGTAAGTTTTGTGCCAGCCAGGGCTACATAGTGAGACCGAGTCTCAAGAAATAAGAGGGAAAGATAGGGAAGAGCCAGTGACTAGAGTATCTTCTGGACATAGTGGGAAGGTATTGCTGAGATCAGAGCTGCATAAAGAAGGATGAGCAACATCTTGGACCTCCCAGCTCACTTGGCCTAGCCATCATGACCACATACATGATCCTTGGTGGAGCCAGAAGGCCACTCTGTAACCCACCAAGTTAAAGAACTAAGCAATTGTTGTTTGGAACCATGGTGTTTTGGGTGGTTTGTCATGAAGCAGTAACTGTTATGTGGCACTGTTCTTAGGGAGATGGGAACAATGTCTACTCACCCAAGATGGAGAGCCACCTTTCAAAGTGAGCATACCACCAAAGTCCAAATAGTGAAACAGTGAGTTTTACTGGGGTTACTTACAGAAGTATGGGTGAGGGGTTACTTATGGGAACAGAAAAGACAGCTGCATCACCTAAAGCCTGAGGGAGAATTAGAACTTAGGCTAAGCAGGAAAGCTAGACCCTTTAAAGGAGGGCTGCTTCTTGCTCCCAGGACCATTTCTTGTTGTCCCCCCCCCCCACATTGGGTAACTGTTACAACTCCTGATGGCTGGTAACGATCTGAAGAAATGGTCAGATTGGAAGAAAATAGCCTGCCCAAGGGAGAGTACCCTGGATAACGCCACTGAAGAAGGGGAGGGAGTCATGAAACAGGAGGGCCTGACCCAGAGCTTCTGCTTGGGATTCCCAGCTCTGGGGCCTCCTCTCATTCTGATGAGAGTTGTTAATCTGCTGTGATAAAGTTCATCTCTTTTGCTCTTCTCTCTCTCCGTGTGGCTGTTGCTTCCCCATTCTCTGTGTCTGTGACTCTCTCGGTCCCCGTGCCTGACATCCACTCTCTGGAGTTTGCCACAGCGTTCTTTACATCTGGGGATCTCCCACTTCCTGCTACCTGTCTCTCCTGTCACTTTGGCTCCTGGTTCCCCACTTCCAACAAGCTTTTGAGGCCCCATGGCCCAGGCGGCTACAATGGTAGCAGCTTCCAAGTCACTGGCATGTCCCCCAAGGTTGCCATGGTGATGGTTTCCAAGCCACTTGGGCAGCTCCAAAGCCACTCTGTCTTCTATTGCTGCACTGTGGTTTCCCAACCATCTCTCCTTCACCCTTTCACCTGCCAAGTTCATTCCTCCTGTTAGCCATTTCTGCAGTGGTTTCCTCTCCCCCAACCGTCATTGCTTAGTACTCTCGCTTGTTGAGTCTCAATTGTGGCTCCTTTACTCTTTCTGCTTGCTACTTTTACTTTTTCTGAATGTTGGTCTTCTGCCTTTCCCAAACATCCAATTCTTTGTTCACCCCACGGAACCAATTCAATAGATGACCACTCCTCACCCCAAGACCTCTGCAACAAGCCCACCCCAGCTCACTAAAGGTGGAATCCTGGAGCTCGCTGCATGACTTGCAAGCAGCCAGACAGGTCAGAGAGCATGCCTTCCAGGCAGCTTCCCTGGCCTGAGCCTCTTCTAGATATCTCAGCTGGTCTGAGTGTTTCTCAGCAGTCATATAGCTTATATAAGCTTGGGGAGGGAGGAGCCTACGACATCTGGCCAGTTTCAGGGATTTTCTGAAACTTTGGCGTTAATTTCTTCCTGATCTTAAGAAGCATCCCTTTAGAAAGGAGTTTCCCTGCAGGTTGAAATGTATCAACATGGAGAAAATTGCTATACAACAATGACAAAACAGTCTATGGAATATTTGCAAACTAGGCTGGAGGACTGAATGGGATCCTGGTGGCCTTGAGGTCCTGTGGACCTTGAAGTCTGTTACAGAGCTCAATCCCCCTGTTTTGGTCTAAAGTTACCTAAGAAGAGATGTGTGTAGCCAGAAAGAAGGATGGAATTTATCAACTCTATCATGTTATCATAGCCATGGGTCTAGATGCTGGGGGATGGCTAAGGAGGTAGAGGTGGGGACAACGGTGCAGGGCCAGGAGAAGGCATGCATCAACTGTGTGCGACCTTTTCCCAAATCCAAACATTCTAGAGGTCAAGACCATTTCCTGTAAGGCCTAGAAGGCTCCAGGCATTTTCCAGCACATGTGGTATCCACTTGAAGTCAATCTTTCCAGGTGGGTGGTACAGGGGTCCTGAAAGAACAAGGTTAAGTCTGCAAAAACTAAGTTGAGAGCAGGGCATCTCTGGTTGAATATGGTCCTTACTGTCTCAGGGACAAAGTGAACCATATTTTCTCCTTGAGACTTATCAAGATCAATAGGCTCTGATTGTGTCAATGGTGGGAACAGTTCATGGGGCTGTTGTAGAGCTGATGCTCACAAGTGGGACCATCTCTCCTGATTTGCCAAGACTGAGGCTCCAGGAGGAAGCAGGCAATACCAATACCTGTTTACAAACACAGGCCCAACAACTGGATGCAAGAATGAGTGAATGAGTAGATGAATGAATGAAGTTTCTTTCTCATCCTGGGATTGAGTACCCAGTGGTATACCACCTTGTACCAGCTTGTGCTGAGGAGCAACAGGTGTGGTTACAATCATAACTGGACAAGGGGTGCTCAAGTATTTACAGGGGCCTGTGCCACTCTCCTTTGGTAGATGGCAATGCTGATTAGTGAGGCATCAGGATGAAGGACAGGTTCCTGAGTAGGCACAGCTAACTAAGATGGGCGACATCTATTCCACACCAGGGAAAGAATGGACATGGGGCTCATTTGAGACAAGAGTGTGTCCCATCATGTGTTTATGAAATGAGGAGGCTGCTCACTATCATCTGGCACATGTGGAGATATATCAGCTGCAGGAAGATTCAGAGGGAGGAAACTCCCTCTTTTTGTAGGAGAATGAACACATGGGAGAGACCATTGGGGCCACCCTGGAGGTACTTTTGGCTATGGTTTGAATATTTGTGTTCCCCAACATTCACAGGCTGAAATCCTAACCACCAAGGTGACAATGTAGGAGGCAGAGCCTTTGGGAAACATACTGTCCTTATGAAAAAATCCAGGACTGAACTCCCTTTCCATTATTACCATGTGAGGTTGGAGGGAGAAAGTACCCTCTGTGACCCAGAAAACAAGCCTTCAGCAGACAGAATTGGCTGGAGCTTTGAACTTGGACTTTGAAGCTTTGAAATGTATAAGATTTAAATTTCTGTCTTTACTACTAGCCACCTTATCTACAGCATTTTGCTTTGAAGCCCATGTGGAGTGGGACACTTCTGTATTTTCCTAGGGCTGCAGTGGGTAAGATACTGTAGACTGGGTGGCTTAAACAACAGAAATTAACTGTCTTCTAGTTCTGGAGGCTAGAAGCCCTGAAGGCAAGTTGTCAGCGGAGATGATTCTGACAGAAGGTCTGACCCAAGATTTCTTAGTGTAGAGATGGAAGTTTTCTCTCAACATCTCTCATCTGCAGTGTGTTATGGAGCTCAAATTTCCATAAGGATTCCAGTTTACTGGATCAGGGCCTTGTTCTGGACTCACTTAATCTTAATTACCTCCTAATGGGTATCTCCAAATATAGTCACATTGGAGAATATGGCTTCAATGGGTGAACAGGGCGTGCAGTTTAGTCTGCAGGTGAAGGCACACGTGTAATGAGCAGAGAGCAGGGAGGGGCAAGAAGCTAGGACCCCTGCTACTTCTTTTTGAAGCCCAATTACTCCAGTTTGTTCTAGGAGGGAAAGAGCCAGGCTGAAGGCTCTGCTGGTGTTTGGAAGTGGTCAGAGCATCCCATTCCTTCGAGACCTCCAATTTTCCGCTGTATGAAGCAGGTCCTGAGAATGTACCCTCTCATCCCAGTCCACCAGACATTTAAATTTGGACAAGAAATCTGTTTCTGTGGGGCTCAGTTTCTCAGGGGGAAATTGAGGTCAGTCTCCCTCAGGGATATGAGCTCACCAACCAGCTCCTAGTTCTGGCCCACAAATTTCTAGCAGGTGCTTCCTTTCAGGTGCTTCCATGGGGGTAAAGCCAGAGCCACAAAGGCTACCAGCAGATCATTCTAGTAAGGGATAATCTGAAAGCCTCAGAAAGTGTGGGATGGTGGTGAGAAGGAACCAGGGGCACAATGACGCTCTCCACAGAGCAATGCTGCCCAGCTGGAGTAGGCCCTGGGAACAGTGGCCATGGGAGGCAGAGTACTGCAGGTCTCACCCTGTATCCTGGACTTCTGTTCTGCTCATGCTGCTAGTCCACCTCACAGGTAAGGGAATTCTTGGGGTTCAGAGCTTCCTGTCCCTTTGTCTTGCCTTATCCTGCCCTGGGGACCAACATGCTTCTATCTTCTCAGGTTGTAGTCCTCAGCCTATGCTTCATCAGCCACCATCAGTCTCTTCTTCCCTTGGAACCACCATCCGCCTCACCTGCACCCTGAGCAGGAACCATAACATCAATGTTTACAGCATTTCCTGGTACCAGAAGAGGCCAGGCCACCCTCCAAGGTTCCTCCTGAGCTACTTCTCACACTCTGACAAGAAACAGGGCCCCAACATCCCCCCTCGCTTCTCTGGATCCAAAGATGTTGCTAGGAACCAGGGTTATCTGCGCATCTCTGGGCTGCAGCCTGAGGACGAGGCTGTATATTACTGTGCTGCGGGGCTCCCGAGCCAGGAGAAAGAGAAAGGGATGGTGAGGGAGATGGGAGGAGAAAAGTAGACTACAGATTCAGGCTCCCAGGCAATCCGAGACCCCGAGACCCCGAACTGAAGAAATGGTTTGCTTTGTTGGGCTAGGCTGGTAGCGGAGAGGAGGGATGGAGCCCTGGGGCTTCGTAGAGCCAAGGAGATGGAGTCATTCAGCTTCTCCTTGTCTCTCTGTGTCTCCATAAGACCCATTGGAGGGTGGATTACAGAATTAAAGCTGTTTTTCTTAGTTTGGTCTGGCTGCTGTGTGATCTCAGAAACAATCTAAATACTGCAAGGTAAAGGTCCCAAGAACCTGACCAGTTTAGAGGCACCAGGGATAACATTTACCTGAACCCTACTCTTGAGAATCATGGGGGCAAGTGGATGACAAAAACATCTTAGAGGGGGATCATCTTGCCAAGGACAGGGCCATCTATTGGCATCTCCACAGTCACAGAGCAAAGAGCTTAGGAAACACCATCATTGAGCCTCTGCATTGGGGGAGAGCAGGTGTCAAGTGACAGGTCTAGAGCAGGCTCCGCTCCTTGGTGCTAATGATGTTTTGGGACGGACAGCCCTTTGTCATGGGGCTGTCTGTCTTGTGCATTTTGGGAGGTGACCAGCATCTCTGGCCTCTGCCACCAGATGCCTGTACATACCAGATGGCCCTCACATGTATAACAACATCAAATGTTTTCAGACAGCACCAAAGGTCCCATGGGTGGGAGAGATACAATGACAGGGGTCAGCAAGCATTTTCTGTAAAGGGCCAGATTATAACTCTTCTTGGCTTTGTGGACCATACTGTGTTTTGGCTTTGTGAACCAAACTATCCAATTCTAGTCTTTATAGACAAAAGCAGCCATAGGCTATAGATTAATAAACAGGATGGCTGTGCTGTTAACTTACTGAAATAGACGGGGCTGGGCAGGATGTGACTCTCACACCACAAGTGGCCAACTCTGCCCTGGAGAAATGCTACAGCTCCTGCCTGGGTTTCAGCAATCCATGCTGGGGCATCATCAGGGACCTTCTCAACTTTTCTTGACCGGTGGCCTGACTTCTGAGCCATAGCCTGTGGAGAGACCATGAAGCCTGGGGAGCATGGTCCAAGAGGCCACACTAGCTTGTTGGATGCAGGGGGATGGGAGAATTCCCAGTGCTCTGGCTATAGCGTGGAATCTTGAGCTCCTGGGAGGTGGGTCAGAATGTGCCCCTCAGAGAGACCCTGTACATGAGGCCTCTACACTATATGGACATACCTTACCTCTACACTATATGGACATGTCTTACTTCAGGAAGGTGGCTGTGGCTCCAAACTTGATTGAGAACACTTGTCTACCATGCCAAATGACCCCTAAGGGTCCCCTCTAGTGTGGTAGATACATGTCAGTATCATCCCTGCCTCCTATAACTTGTGACTCTCTTCTGTGAAACAGCGGTTTCAGCTCATGCCATGTTCTGCCTCCCTCTGGCTTTCACTTCCTCAAACTCACCAAGTTCTTGCATCTGGCCTTTGCCCCATGGAAAGGATCCCAGGAACACGTTTTTGGAGGCCAGCTAGGTGGTCTTTGGCTCGATGCCATGGCCCTTTCTTGCTCTTGGTTTTCATGATCTGAGGGTTCATGCCATAAGACGAAATCCAGAAAGCAGTTGGAGGCTTGGCCTCCTCCACTGTCCTGCGTTTCCTGTCCCACCAACTCAAAGGAGACCTTGGACTTGACCTCAGGCCAGACATGGTTAAGTCTCAGCTAACACTTCCTTTATGTGGAAAGGGGATAGGAATCATTAATTTAAAAATTTTAAATTACTTCATTGTGTGTGGACACACATATGCCATGGTGCATGTGTGGTGCTCAGAAGACAACTTGTTGGGGTCATTTCACTCCTTCCTCCACGTGAGTCCTTGGTATCAAACTCAGGTCCTCAGACTTGACAACACACACCTTTAACCACTGAGCTGAACCATCTCGATGGCCTAACACTAACTTATATGAAGTGCTTAACCTGGGCTTACCTGTCATGCATGTGCCATAAGACTGTAGAACAACTATTTTCTTCTCAGTCATCCAGGCTATTTTTCCTTTTAGTCTGGTCCTTCCCTTTCATCTGAGTTATTCTCACCCAACCATTATCTGACTTCCTGCCTTATACCCTGCTGCAGCCTTAACCTGTCCTCTGTCTTTATTACCCCTTGATCCAGACTTGCCTTCACTCTACCTCCCTAATGCTGACTGCCTTCCATGTTCTAAGGCATATGGGCAAGCCACATTTTCTAATGGCTACATTTTGAAAAAGGTGACCAAACTTGCAGGCATGAATCTGCAGCAGTTCCACCACTTGGTAGCTTGAGTAGAGGATGGCTTCAATATAGGAGTATATATTATTTGTCTTTCTTGAGACAGGGTCTCCCTGTAGCCCCAACTAGCCTGGAACTTGCTATGAAGACCAGACTGGCTTGGATTTCATGGCGATCTACCTCCTCTACCTCCCAAGTATAGGGCTTAAAGATATATGCCACTAGCCCTGGCTAAGTACAGGGGTTTTCAGTCTGGACAACATAGTGAGACTCCCCATCTCTAAAAATGGTTTTTAAAAGCCAGGCATGATTCCACACTTTTTCCCCATATGGGGCCCTCCCCCAGCTCAATCTACCAGCCCAAGTCATGACCACACTAGTCTTCTGGAACTATTTTATTCTAAGTGTCATCCTGTAAAACCCAAGGGTATTCCTCAGATCCCTGCCCTCAGGGTCTTGAGATCTTCCTCAGGTCAGAATGTTTGAACCACTGGCAATATGTTCGAACTCATTTAGTTCTGTTTCTTTCTTGAACTGGGAAACTGAGTCCAACATTTCTGTTCATAGATCAGAGTTCTTAGCACCCCACAGCCTGGTTCTGTATTACCATGAAGAATCCTCTTGAATCCTATGGGAGAGGTCTGTTGTGCTGGGTATGGGTCCTGACACTCTGGCAACTCTGCCATCTCCACCATCTCCCCCAATTCAGATTCAGAGAGTTCCCCAAACACCCCCTCCATGCATTCACCTGCTTCAAGCTTTCCTTCTCCATGCCTGTCTTGGTTGTTAGGTACAAATGCTGGTTTCGTGTGCCTGGCATCAGAGGCTGGATGTGTGACAGAGGGAGACAGATAGACAGAACAATGGAGAGACAGAGGTAGAGACAGTGAGAGAATGTGACCAGTTACAAATGTGAAGAGAATATCCGGGCTGCTTCTTGCCGGTCTTAGAGAATCACAGTGACCCCAGCCACCTAAGCAGATCCCAGAATGGCCAAGAATTCACTCAGTCACACATTCCTCTCTCACTCAACCACCTCTCTTATCACTAGTGTTTATTGGACACAGTGGACCCAGTCAGCTGCGGATTTGCAGACTAGTGGGAGGAAGCTTGCTAAATAAAATCAGGACTGTGTGGCAGGAAAACAGGCTGTTGGCTCACTAGAGGGAGTTAACACCTGCAGAGGTCAGGAAACTGTTGCCCAAGGAGGGAGAGGTAAGATCACTGTGGAGCCTGCATTGGCACAGCCAGACACAGGACACAGCCTGTGGTTGGGAAGTCCCTAGTGTAAACAGCCTGAGTGAAGTCAGGCGACCAAGCAAAACAGGCACCTGATCAACGGCAGTTAGCTGAACATGGCAGATATGGACAGTTGTGGGTAAACAAGAAACACAACATTTAGGATAGGATGGGCAGCCTCCAAAGGCTGGATGATGGAGAATCTGAACTTTGTCCCTTCAGAAGCCATACACAGTTGTTGAACACTTGTAAAGTTGTGGCTCTGAACTGAGACAAACCACAAGTGTGAATTTCAAAGACGGAGTACCAAAAAGGTGCTCATAGCTGCTTTTTTATTGGTTGCTCATCAAAATGATTATATTTAGGATATATCATGCTAAATAAAATGTATAAGGAGAAATCATTTCACCTGTTTTTACTTTTTAAAAACCATTTTTAGGGGCTGGAGAGATGGCTCAGTGGTTAGGAGCAGTGACTGCTCTTGCAGAGGACCTGGGTTCGATTCCCAGCACCCACATGGCGGCTACAAACCATCCTTAACTCCAGTTCCAGGGGAATCCGAAGCCCTCTTCTGACCTCCGCGGCATTGCATGACACAGATGCACTCACGTACATGCAGGCAATACACTCATACCCATAAAATAAAAATAATAAAATATTTAAAAAAACCATTTTTATTTTGGGTGGGGTTTTTTTTTGGTTATTTTGTTTTGTTTTGTTTTTTGAGACACAGGGTCTCCTTGGAGCTCCAGCTGGCCTGGAACTTGCTATGTAGACCAGACTGACCTCAATCTCACAGAGATCTACCTGCTTCTCTAAGTATTGGAATTAAGTGCATAAGGCTAGCAGGACACAGAGAGCCCTTCTGTTCCATCCTAAGCTGCATCCTTGTGATGGATGTTACTGTCTAATCCATTTGTTCATTATGGAGTATAAAATGGGCATACTTTCATTCTAGCATTCTTCCTTCACTTGTTAGTTAAGAGGCCTTCTACAAAGAACCTCCCAGGGCTAGAGATATGGCTCAGTGGGTAAAAAGCTTGCTGGGCAAGCATGAGGACCTGAGTTCAAATTCTGATAACCCATGTAAAAGCTGGGTGTAGTAGTACATGTCTGTAATCTCAGTTCTCCTATGGTGAGAGGAGAGGCCTAGGCAGGAGACTCCTTGGAAGCTCAGGCCAGCTAGCCTGGCATACACAGTAGCAAACAAGAAAGAGACTCTCAAACAAGGTGGAAGGTGAGAACCAACACCTGAGGTTGTCCTCTGACATCCACACATACTGTGGCAAGAGTGTGCCTGAACTCACACACACAAATGTGCATATATATACACATGCACACACATCATACACATAACACACACACACACACACACATGTACACGCACCCCCCCACACACATAAACTGATCATGGTGACAACATTACTGTAATTCCAGCTCTCTGGAGGCTGAGGCAGGAGGCTCTCCAGTTCAAGGCCAGCCTGAGCTATATAGTGAGACATTGTCTCAAAATAAAACACCCTAAACTTCTATAATAAAAAAAAATACCACAAATTGATGACACATTCCATTCTTAATGATTTAGTCACTTTGAAGGAACTATTTGAATAGTAAAGGCTAAACATTTCTCTTCTTCCCCATTTACTAACTAACGAAACAACAAGCCAATATGTCAATATCATGCAACTTTCTCAGTATTATAAGCTCCTGGGTATTCAAATTCATTGCACTTACTCTGAGTTTTCCAATTGTTGACCAGGATAAGGCTGTATAAATTGGTATCTTGCTAGGAACTTTTTGTTTTGTTGAGAGTAATTTGTTTTAATTATTTAAGATTTGTGTGTGCATGCGTGCGTGTGTGTGTGTGAGTGTGCACACATGCACACACACATGTGCGTGCAAAGGCTTCAACTCCAGGAAATTCTCAAAAAGATAATACAATGTAAGATACTGAATTCGTGTTTGAGCATGTGATGCACACACATCCACAGTGATATTTCACAGAAGAGGGAGGACCAAGAAAGGAACTATTTGCAGAATGCCAGCTAACACATGGTAAAAGACACCAGAATTAGAAAACCATTATTTTCAGCCTTTACTGTGATAAACAGTAAAGTCCAGGACCACAGACAGGCGTTAAAGTTCCGAAGTGTCACTTCACACATTCTAGTCATGGAGGGAACACACATTTCTTTTCATTGGAAAGCATGCTTCAGTTCACGTATCCTCTGAGCAGCCCCTCAGCCAGGTGGGTTTTGAGCACTGGATGGTGGTCAGGGTTAGTGTAGGGCGTCCTCAGTTTCCTTATGTCTTGAACTTCCATTTCTAGCAGAGGGAAACAAAGAGCAAGCAAAACAAACAAGCAAACACAATCACGTCAAAACAACTAGGAAATGTTAGCTAAACGGTGATAAATAATATAGGGGAAAAGGGAATAAAGACAGGGATGATGGCTGGGTTGAGGGTGGAGCTAGACATGTCTGCAGGAGCTGTCTAGTCATTCCAGAAGCTAAGCAGTTGGCTCATCTTTTCACAGGGGCCTCTAAGCCAGGGAAGGACACTTCCCGCCCCTGAACCTAAGCTGGTTCCATTTCTTGGCTACTGCGAATAGAGAAGCAGGAATCTAGGAGTGTTCAAATGTCTCTGTGGTATGCTGACTTCGAATCCTTTGGGTGTACATCCAGGAGTGGTGTGGTTGGGTCATAAGGTAGTTCAGTTGTGTGTTCTCATGTATGTGCAGACCAGAGGTTAAGCTCAGATGTCATTTCTCAGAAAATCCATCTTGTTTTTTGAGACAGGATCTCTCACCAGAGCCTCAAGTTTGCTGAGTAGGCATGGTGGACCAGTGACTTTTGTCTTTGCCTCTCCAGTGCTGGGATTACAAGCATGCATATCACTTTGGACTTTTACGTGTGGCTGAGGATGGAACTCAGGCCCTCAGGCTTCACAGCAAAGCACTTTATTCTACTGTGCCATCTTTCACCACTCCCCAGTGTTTGTATATGCTATTTTCAGGGTTTTTTTAAAAAAACCTTTTTGAGGAGTGGTGAATGTTATACTTGTCTGTAAATATAAGGATCCATATTTAGCATAGAGTAAGAAATTGTATTTGTCTAGGGATATGACATAGATGCAGTTTTCTCTAGGATCTATGACCTTTCCAGCCATGTGTATTTGGCTATGTTTTCAGTGCCACACATGAGTTCCCTCTCACTGAGAGGGCTTTAAGTCCAATTAAATAGCTGTTGATTACCCCCTAGATAAAAGTGCCACTACTGCACCAATATAGTTTGTGTGCCAGTCATTGTTGTGGTTATTAGGCTTTAAAGCTGGGGTTGGACCATTGACTGATTTTCTCCTTTGGCAACTTGCATAGTATCCTCCAGAACTATGAGAGCTACTCTTCAGGGAGGAGGCTTCCAGGTCAGTTCCAACTTCACTGCTCCAAGTCCTGTGTCCGAAGTATGTCATGTCTTCAGTAATAGGGTCTTACCTTCAAGTTCTGGGAGGTAATCAAAAAGCTATTACAGAGTTCCACAATTGGTCACACAGAGAGAATATGTGTCTGACAGATGCCCAGTCCTAAATCACACCTATAGTGGAACCTCTACACCTAAGCTCATGGAACAGAGCAGGAACAGGGGGTAGAGAGAATACTAATGCATCCCTCAGCCCTCACCTCCTGCAACAGAATGTGATGCACACAGGAGGCCACAACTGGCCAAGGTGTAGAGAATAAGAGACTGCAGAGTACCTGTCCCTAGATAGATCTTCTATATTAAACCTTACCCACCCACGGCTCAGGAACTATTTTGAAAGAGGGGGTGGAAGGATTAGAAGAACCAGGGTTGGTGCATGAACATAAGGAAACAGAATCTTCCAGGCTTCTGGGAACTTGCTCATATGAGCTTGAGGCAATAGTGACAGCATGTGAAGACCCATGCAGACTCAATCATGCAAAAAACCCAGCATAGAACTGGGGAAATGGGCAGCAGGCCCCAACCTTAGCTGAGGAACTATTAGCAACTGATTACTGCTGGGTGAGGGAAAGTTGATCTTCTTTAAGGAAGTGACTCTAGGTAGATATACTAGGCTCTAGTGGATGAACTCCCACTGAGGGACATCTGGATACAAAAGCTTGACTGGATAGGCCTTAACGTGTGTGATAGAATGCATGAAATCTGGTGGGGGGTATGAGGAGTGAGGGTGGGGGGGGATCTAAATATGATTAAGATGTATGAAGTGCACCAAAATTAAATAAAATATACATTAAGAATTTTTAAACTTTTAAAAATATTTCATTTTGGGGGCTGGAGAGATGGCCCAGCAGTTAAGAGCACTGACTGCTCTTACAGAGGACCCGGGTTTGATTCCCAGCACCCACATGGCAGCTATGAACTGTTCTTAACTCCAGTTCCAGGGGAATCC